CGCCGCCTGGACCGATAAACCTGTTGTTTAGCAATTCTGCGTTCTCAATCAGCGTTTAATCTACTCGTTCGCAGTCAACAGCCAAGCCAAGCTCAGCAGAAAGAACAACAGAAGCAGAATTTAAAAAGTTCAACTTTTGCTCGCAATTAAGTTAGCAGAAAAGTGAGTCTGTTCATAGGCCGAACGAACGGGCCCCAAGAAAAAAATCCATAATAATATACATCACAAATAAGTGACCAGGCACCAAAATACAAGAATACATCCAGGGACATGCAGAAATTCTGCTATACGTGGATTTTGATAATTTATACAGATTAGAGTCAATGGAACGCACGATCCACAGAAAGATGGGTGAGTACACACTTGCGTGGACACACACACACACACACACACACACACACACACACACTCTCTCTCTCTCTCTTTCTCTCTTTCACACACACACACACACACACACACACACGAACAGATATAAATACCAGCACACATATGCACACCAATATAAACACGTCCACACGTATACACACACACACACACACACACACACACACATCATCATCATCATATAATCATCATCATCCAGTGCCTTGCCGACTGGCGTGGGCGATCATGGACACACACACACACACATACACGTGCACACACATACATACACACACACACACTAAGCCCAGTGTTTCGCTGGCCCTCACCACGACCACGATCATGATCATCAAGTCCTGTAGTCCGTCCACTGACCACAACTTCATCACAAAACCACCACGACGACCACCACCACCATCACCACCACCACGGGTACCACCTCCACGACTACCATCAGGCCTTGTGTTCCGCTGACCCCATCAGGCCAGACTTGCATATTGTCCCATCACTACACGCCACAACAGGACCATCATCACCACCATCAAGTCCTGCGTCCCGCTGACCATCAAGCCATCCCCATCACAAGACCATCACCACCACCACCACAACCACGATGACGATCAGGCCAGTGTAGCACGTTGTCCTATCAAGCGATCACATGACCACCACGACCATCAGGCCAGTGTATCACGTTGTCCTATCAAGCGATCACATGACCACCACGACCATCGGGCAAGTGTAACACGTTGTCCCGTCAAGCCATCACGTGATCACACCACCACGACCATCAGGCCAGTGTAGCACGTTGTACTATCAAGCAATCACGTGATCACACCACCACGGCCATCAGGTCAGTGTAGCACGTTGTCCTTTCCCGCCATTAGGCCCCGAGTTCCGCCCACTGGCCACCGTACCCTCACACCACCACCGTCACCACGACCCCGTCAGACGACTGGCCATCACGTCATCACACGACCACCACCACCACCACCATCATCAGGCCAGTGTAGCACGTTGTCCCATCAAGCAATCACATGACCACCACAACCATCAAGTCCCGAGTTTCGTCGACTGACCATCACCATCATCAAGTCCCGTGTTTCGTTGACTGACCATCACCATCATCAAGTTCCGTGTTTCGTCGACTGACCATCACCATCATCAAGTCCCGTGTTTCGTCGACTGACCATCACCATCATCAAGTCCCGTGTTTCGTCCACTGACCATCATCATCTTCAAGCCCCGTATCCCACTGACCATCTCGCCACCACACGACCATCACAATCAGGCCAGTGTAGCACGTTGTCCCACCAAGTGATCACATGACCACCACAGCCATCAAGCCCTGTGTCCCACTGACCATCACGCCATCACACGACCACCACAATCAGGCCAGTGTAGCACGTTGTCCCACCACCTGGACCTGTTTCTCCGCTCCGCCAGACCGGGATGACACAAAGTTCTCGTAGCTGAAACAGAAAACACAAACACGTTGGAATTGAATCAAGGGGGAATAAAAACAACCCATTAAAATACGACAATCATCATCAAAATCATCGACATTATCATCATCATTATCATCATCGTCGTCACAATATCATCATCATTGTCGTCATCATTGATGTAAATACGATAGTTTGTGGAGAATTGTGTATACTATAATGACAATATGAAATATGTTCAACGTTTCGCCCTAATAAGCTTCATCATCATCATCATCATCATCATCATCATCATCATCATCATCATCATCATC